AGCAAAAACTGGTTTTGAATCTGCTTCTGATTTAGCTTAGTCTTGTTGCTGAAATAATTCTGGGGCAGTTCAAGCCATTTTGAACATCAGGTCTGGATTATAAATTTAGAAAAGCATGCGCATAGAATTCTGCAGTCCTAATGAGTTCTCATCATTTATTTTGGCAATCTAATACAATTTTTCTTTCTTCCTCTTGTCTTTCACCTCCCAAAGCCTTTGTACTTTGCACTTGAATAAAGAAAAGCTGAATATTCTGCAACTGTTTGGTCAGTAGGTACATGAATTTTACTGCTTTCCCTCACTCCATCCTCCAAGTCAAAAAGAGTTGAGAGGGTTGGGGATGTAACTCGATGGTAAAGTGCTTGCCTAGCATGCACAGGCCATGCATTTGATCTACACACACACACACACACACACACACACACACACACAAATATACACACATGCTCATAAGAAAGAAAACGTGCCCTGGCCCTTGGTGCTCTGCAGTTATGGGTCTCAGTCATGATGGGTGGACATTAGCGACTAAGAAAATAAGAAAAGTAGGGCCAACTGTAGTGGTGCACACATGTAATCCCAGCATTTGAGAGGCTGAGGCAGGAGGATTGCTTCAAGTTTAGACCAGCCTGGACTACATAGTAAATTCAAGGTCAGTTTGAACTACATAGTGAGACCCTGTCCAAAAAAAAAGAAAAAAAAAAAAAAGAAGAAAGAAAGAAAAGAAGGCTTCCAGGAGTTTCTTTTCCTTCACTCCTACCAGCTTACCTCCTTCACTCCATCATATGCAAAGCATTCATTTTTATGGGATTTTTTTGTTGGTTTCTTTTTGTTTGTTTGTTCGTTTGCTTGCCATACCAAGGATCAAACCTCAGGACCTTATGCATGCTAAGCAAGCATTCTATCACTAAACTATATCCTCAGCCCCTCAATGCACTCATTTTTAAGGTGACTAAGCACTCTTAAGATGTATAGCACCTGCTCTGCCTAATATTCTCCCAAAACATACCATATTAGTAAATATTATTCCATGTGGGTCTTTCACCTCTCTTGCCCTACTTCTCAGCATTTGTTAAATCACACTATTTCTATTTCTTGTAGAAAGCTTCTGTAATACTTTATATTCATTAGAATATAATTATAAGTAGCCTATAAATTACTCAATATTTATTAGTGTAACACGTTTAAAACGTCCTATGGAAAGTTATTTCGGATGAGAAGGCAGCAGAACTGTGCCCTAATCTTGGTTCTAGTCCTGTGTAAACTTAGATAAGCCTAGGGCCTCCTGTAAAATGAGAAGATCAGGCCAAATGATCTTTACAGCTCTTAAACAAATCTAAATTTAGATCACTAAAATGTTTTGATATTTTACTTGAGGTTATCTTGATGGTAGATAGATCTGACTTTCTATCTAAGTTTATTTTTTTCCATGACAAAAACAGGCTCATGATAAGACTGTTTGGAAATTTAGAAAAGTGGAAAGAAAACAGAGCGAGGCATTCACAGAGCCACCACCTTAAAGAGACAATCATTGATCTAGCTTCCTCCCTTCCACCAGCAACCCAACCCCCACAACCTCCATAGTTAAGACCCTTCACAGGCAGACATGAAAGATGCATCAGGTGTGTGTATTTGGGCTCCAGCCACTTATTGGAGGGTTGCCTTTACTTAGTTACTTAAGGTTGCCTATTCCATGGAGACTTGATATTCTAGGAGGTAACTGATCACTGCTGCCACTTGGACAAAAGTGTCATCTACATTCCCATATCACAGGATGACAACATCATCTACTTGCCACCAACCAGAAGCTGCAGCTCACACAGCTAAAACAAACAACCTAAACGGGTGACCAGGAAAGGGATGAGCAAGCTTGAAGACCAAGTTCTAGTTTCTTTACTTTGGAGGACAGATGTTTCCAGAGGTTGAAGGCATTCCAATAACAAGTAGCTATTCCTTATATGTTGCATGTCCAATATAACCATAATCATCAGAACAAAATATCAGTGAGAGAAATTTGGGTTTCCTCCAAGGCCCTCCGTACCAGGATCCCTAGCGACTGACTTAAGGAAAAACACAACCAAACTGTATCACTGTGACTGAATTTCCACTGTGAGGAAGGTTGCATATGCAGAGAGAGGTGCACAAGAAAGAGAATGTGATCCCCACCTTGTGACATCCCATCCCTTCTAGGTAAGAAGGAGGAATCACCAGTTTTAAGCTCTCCCCTAACGATCCAGTCGACCTGTCCCTTGCTCTAGCCCCTGCCAACCAAACCACAAGACAAATATCATGAGGATGTCACCAGTAATCCATGATCCCACTTCAGCAGAATGACTGCTGGACCATGGGATTCCTCCAGCTGTGTTCCTCACAGATGAGAAATTCCTCCCAGAAGAATTACAATTCTGCATTAAAGCAGCCAGCTATACTGCATGGGTGGGATTACAGAGAAGAGCGCTCAGGCACTGAACGCATCTCTCGTTCCCATTTTCACTGAAAGAAGGGGAAAGTTATTAAACTAGAGGAGACAGACTGTGATTCACAGCAATCAAGACCTGCCTGCAGCTGTGAATGCAGACAAGCTGGAGACTGTCCCTGCAGCTCCTCTGTGCACGAGCACACACACTCACAGGGAAATGCTCTGCTGCAGTACTGAGTGACAGCAAAGGGCCACCAAGGCAAAACCGAGATAAAGCTCCCCCAGCAGCCCCACCAGAACCCCTGTGCTGTTAGCTGCACTAGGTCTGGAGGCTCCCTCCCAGTTTTTGTTCTTCACTTGAAGTGGGAATCTCTTAAAGACGTGCCAAATCCTCTCAGTTTCTGCAGTTTCTCTGAAGCAAGGAAATAAGTGCATGGGGGAGGTGAAACTTACGTATGATCGAGGTACCCAGGGCTTTCCTGGCCCAGGCATCTCAGCCTGAAAGACAAGACCCATGGGGCTGGGCTGAGAAAATGAAGCAGTTTGGAGTCTCCCTAGAGCTACAGGGCTCTAGGCAACACTTCCACTTTTCATCATAGTTTTTAAAAGAGGAAGAAAACAGGCTGGGGTTTGGCCTCGAGGGAAGCAGAGACCCCCCAGGGGATCTGGTTCAGGGACAGCTGGTCTCTGTGTACACCCAGGTGGCTGCTTCTGGATGTTATGAATACTCATCCCTGAAGTCAGGCTCAGCTCAGCAGGAGGTAGCTCTGTAGGCTAAATTGCTAGTTAGAACCTATTTGCTCTGACAGCCTAGGAGGCTGGGCAGTCCTGCATACACAGAGTTACGCGTATCCCCATCCAAGGATCTACTCACATCACCCTGCTGCGCCCCTAATGGAGGCAAGCCAAGTTTAGCTGCTGTCAGAAGGGGCCCCAAGACTTGACTTCCCCCAGCAAGTACCGAATTGTTTCCCTGAACATGAAACAGCTCTGTCACTCCACCCAGTACCACTGTAAACGCTAGCTCCTGTACTGTGCCCGACCGAGCAACCACACACTTCTCCCCTCAAAGCACAGGCTAACCACAAATCTTCATGTTGGCATAGCAATCGGATAAACTCTCAGGGGATGGCCTGGATTAAAACACCCAGATTTAGAAACAGTGGGGTGAGGCGGAGTGGTCTGAACCCTAGACCTCAGTAAAAAGAGGGTAAAGAAAACCTCCCTCCTTGTATGAGGGCCGGAAAAAAAAGCAAGAAGAGAGAAGGTTGCTCCATTTTTCCTTTTCTGTGTGAGACTGCCATGGTCACAGCCACAACCAGTTGAGGAACTGGGAACCACTTAGTTTCTTCTGCAGCCCCCAAGACTGGCTGAATTTTCCACGATAAATTTAATGGACATGGCAACCAAGACAACATAGCAGTTGGCGCTAACTGGCTCCCTAGATAACGACTTTTGGTGGGACCCAACAGAACTCCTACTGAAAATCTTCATCTTTACTATCTCAACTCAGACCCAGCCTCCAGGGTCCTTCACTAACCTAATGCCCTTGGGAATTCTTATGCTAGTTTTTGGTAATACCCTAACAATAAAACGCACACACACACAGGGAGATCATAGCTAACACAGACTGAGTGCCTGCTCTGTGCCAGGTACTTTTCAAAGTATTTTGCATATATCATTTAATCTCATTTAATCATTAAAACAACCCATTTTACAGATTAAAAAGATGAAGCATGTAAAAGTTTTATAGTTTGCCTAAGGCCACATAGCTACTCAGTAGTTGAGCTTGTGTCTGGTGTGCAGCTGAGAAACTGGATTGAATTCAAGGACCTGGGTATGAGAAGAGAAACTTCAGAGGACAAGCTTGTGATTTCACTGTCCAGACCAACTTCACTGAAAAGGACAATCCTTGTTGCAGAATATGAGATTGTGCCTTCACATGATATTACAAGTACAGTCAATAGATGGGGTTTTTCCAAAGTCTCTGCTTTGACCCCCACCATGGACAGTGTTCTTTGAAAAGAGCAAATTTGCTGAAAGACCAGGTCTGGCTCCTTGAACCCCACAGAGCCTGCCTGGAGACTCAAAGGTAACAAGCGCTGCAGAGGGAAGTCCGCTCTAGATGGAGACATCTCCTTAGGAGCTGGACACGCCACCACAGCAGGGCTTCTAATACCAGAAATGTCCCCTCCAATGTTCCTGGTTGAATACGGGAAAGATGCCACCTTGCCAACAGGGGAAAAGTGGTCATCCCCGGGGGCACCAGGGCTAGAGCTCTTGTTGGTTCTACCTAAGCAATGCAAAAGCAATACAACTCTAGGAGAGGGAATCTGGACGCCGAGAGGGGAGTGAAGGAAAGCAGCACAACCCGGAGCAGTAAGACAGGCAAAGGCAGCACGCCGAGATGGTTTCTCACCTGGGAGCTCATTTCCCTCCCTCTACGGCCAACTCCAGTCACCCCCAAAGCGCCACCCACATTTGGGAAGCTTAAAGTCCCCAGAGCCTCCGAGGGGCTCGGAGCCACAGCCTCCTCCCCGCTGCAGCTCTCGCCCACCCGGAGCGCAGGGGCCGCGCCGCTCACCTCGCTCATCGCTGCAGCTGGACGGGAATACAGGTGAGGTGCGGGGTCCTCGGGGACGCGTGGACAGCAGTCGAGAGTCGCGGGCTCCGAGGGTAGGACCTCGGCTGAGCAGAAATAGCAAGTTGGTGCGCTGAGCTGGTGCTTTCCTGCCGGCACCTGCGGGTCTCAGCGCTCAGCTCCCAGCCTGGGACCCCAGCGACCCCGTCCTGGCGGAGCAGCTCCTAGCACCTCCGCTGGCTCCACCTTTTATAGCCAGTGAGGTACCACCCGCCCCAGCCCGACCAATCGGAGCTCCTCGTACCGCAGAGTGACAGCCCCTCGAATCCAATGGTGGCAGTCTTGGAGGTCTGCTGCATTTCCAAACTAGGGTAAGACGGAGAGCGGGAAGGAGGGGGACACCGTCGTCGGGGGATGAGAGGACAAAAAATGAAGCAGGAAGAGCAATGAAGAGGGGCCAAGAAGTGGTACAAGAAAGCGGGAGGGAGCGAGAGGGAAGGAAGGAGTGTGTGAGTTTGAGAAAGAAGCAAAGCTGGAAGTTGAGAGGTTACATGGAAAGCAGGAAACAGTGAATGAAAAGAGTTAAACCAAGATGTGACAGATTAAGATTGAATAGAGAAGGCGGGGGGCAGGAAGAGAAGGAGAGGGAGAGACTGGAGCAAAAGGCCAGCGCTCGATGGCAAATAATAGGCAAAATTTGAAGTGCCTATTTGATTTGGAAGATTATGGATTTTAGGAACTGGTAGACACTTTTGAGTTCATCAAATTTTTCCTACATGAGACAAAATAAAAGGAAACCTCTCCAGTGGTGGCCCTGCAGGGTCCACTTGAATAGGTAATGAGCTTCCCTAAAAGCTAATTTACAATTGTGTTTTCATTCAAATTCAGTCCTACAATATGCCCATCATGGCGTCACAGCTATGAAGCTGGAAAAAAAAAAAAAAAAGACTGAACTTGCGCCTACGGTTACCACTGAAATACTCAAATCCGATCTCGCAGAGGCTAGCTTGCATCTTCCCACAACCAGGTAGCGGTGTACCATTTGGTGGGCTATGTTTGAGGCTTCAAACTAGCCCAGCAGATTCTGCCAAGGTGTAGGGAGCAAATATAAAAGATGAAGCCCACAATTCAACCTATATGGATTATTCTCCAATAAGATGGAAATTACTATGCTGTATAATTTTTAAGAAAAAAGTGTGATGAGGAAAGTAGAAAACAAATAGAACAGCTAGGTAAACATCGTGAACTTTCTGATAACTTCAGCTACTATTCCAGTAACTTTCATTTCTGCTTTAAGAAAATCCTTTAATGCCGGGCTTGGTGGCGCACGCCTGTTATCCCAGCACTCGGGAGGCTGAGGCAGGAGGATCATTGCGAGTTTGAGGCCAGCCTGGGCTACAAAATGAGCTCAAGGCCAGCCTGAATTGCATAGTGAGACCCTGTCTCAAAAAGACACACACACACCCCAAAAAAAAATAATTATAAAAAAATTAAGAAAACCCTTTAAATTTTCATATCTATAATACTTCTGGGTACTGTATTTCTACTTACAGCTTCAGCCAGCCAAAGCTGAATACTTTCAGCTTTAGCAATTGCACACCTTTGACGCTATCTTTCTTTCTTTTTTTTTTTTTTTTTGGTACCAGGAATCCAACTCAGGACCTTGGACTTGCCAGGCAGGCGCTTATGCCGCTGAGCTATATCCCCGGCTGACCCTATCTTTCATGGCCTTTTATAACAGTCATTAATAGCTGAGTTTGCCTCCAGCAGCAACCACTGATCGCATCCCAACAACCAGATTTAGGTAAGACTTCAAACAGCCTTTTCTCTAGCCAGATCCTCTGTTTAGTCCCATTTCCTTTGCTAAGTTGGAAACAGAGAAGATGGAAAAAAAAGATCACTTCCCTTTTTCTCTTCTACCTGAGATCCTCTGACTCTCACTTTCCAATGGGACCTAGTTGCCTGGGTTAGTAAATTTCTAACCAGGCTAGGTCCTACTCACTCTGTGCAGCCTCCTGCACTGATTTCCCCCACCTTCCTAAGGAACAGCTAGTTAGCTTTTAAAAGATGTCTTTAGTGAAATAGACTTCAGCATAGTTCTTAAATAGCTATGAAAAGATTATAAAGAGAATTCAAGATCCTAGATCAGAAATCAGCAAGCTTTTCCTATAACAACCAAATGATAAAATATTTTAGGATTTAGGCTATATATGCTCTCTGTTAAGACTCAAGTCTCCCATTTATAGTTTGAAAGCAGCGGTATGCTGTGATGGTGCACGCCCTGTGATCCCAACATTCAGAAGGCTGAGGTAGGAGGATCCTTGGGAGTTCAAGACCAGCCTGGGCTACAAAGTGAGCTCAAGGCCAGCCAGAACTGCATAGCAAGACCCTGCCTCAAAAACACAAAAAGACAGAAAGAAAGAAAAAAAAAAAAAAGAAAAAGAAAAAGCTGCTGTAGACAGCATGTAAATATGTAGGTGCGTCTATGTTCTAACAAAACTTTATTTGTGGGCACTGAAGTTTGAATTTCACATCATTTTCATCTGTTAAAAATATTCTCCTTTTAAATTTTAATATAAAACCATTCCTAGCTCACAGGCAGCAGGCCAAATTTGATGCATAGGACATAAATCTTAAGTTTCTGCCATAGATGATTAAATGTCTAAGAAAACAAAAATAGCAAATTATATGATAGTAAATAGTAGTAGGTCAAAGAAGAAAGACATCAGCTAGGACCAAAAGAGTCAAAAGCTTCCTGGGAAAAATTAGATTTAGAATGAGCTTTAGAGGAAGGGTAGAAACTTAATTAATTTTAAAAAAAAAGGAAGGGTAGACTATAGACAGAGGGAAGAAAAATTTTGTCTTTCTCTGGCCTGTGGGTGATAACAAGAGAAACAAAATGAAAGAAGACTCAGGATTATGATTAAGAAAGTTCAGGAGGGGGCTGGGGATTTAGCTCAGCGGCAAAAGCGCCTGCCTGGCAAGCGCAAGGTCGTGAGTTCGGTTCCCGGTACCGGAGAAAAACCAAAAAAAA